TCTAGAGTAATAAACAGTACATATAATACAATAACGTAATGCAGTGTTATGCTATATGTTAGTTATTACACAATACAATGTATATTTTTCATATTTACTTACTGATTTTTCATTATTTTTCCTTCTAGACATATAATAAGGCATATATTTTCATTTCTTTGATGTGCTTTCTGTTTAGTGTAACAGTGCAATATAATAATGTTCAAAAATAAAAGTAACTCACTGATATATGCAGACAGCTGCTCAAACAACAAACTAGCAGCATCGGACAGATGTTTAGATCCGTTTAGATGTTTAGATATTTCAGACTGACATGTCTCATGTTTCATTTCACTGCAGAATTAAATATTATATCATATATTATATTATACAGATTGATTCAGACTCATTTTATAATGTTTATGTTTTGGACAAATAAGCACATGAAATAAATTAGTTATTATCTCACAATGTCCAAATCAGTACATCTCTAAAGTAGATAAAAACTATAACAAGTAATGACAATAATTATCATCATAATCATTAATATGAACAGCTAACTTTATAATGCATAATAATATTACAAGTAACACACCATGTAGACCACATTATATACGCCTCCTGTATTTTCATATAAACACATTAAGCCCTAAAAGCTCTTTAAAGGGCTCATATCCTACATTTTTCCTTGTTTTATGCCTCGAGGTTTGTGTGGGTTTATGTGCTAAAATCAGTCATAATTCATTTCTGCAACCTCCCTTAAAATAAACAGGCTGTGTTTGTTACTGAGCCTATAAGACTGATATATGTAAATGTACTCTGCTCTGATTGGCCACTGAAACGCTCCTTATAAGTCCAGTGTGAAAGGGCAGGGCTAAACCGGCGTAGGCCGGATAAATGCACTGGGGACTGAATGTGGCATTTTAAACTCTGACAGTGTTCGCATGCAACATCAAACTTTCTCGTTACAAAAAAAGTGAGAAAATTCATTTCGCATGATATTTGCACTTTAAACCAGGCCAGCAGCCTCAGGCGACCCCAGCCACAAACCTCAGATGCTGACGGTGTGAGAGCGAGAGAGGAAGTGTGGTGTAAAGCGCTCTGTGACGCTGTTCTCAGACCAGCCAGGCAAACATGTGAGCTGAGGAGGAAACGGAGAGAGCTGCTCTGAGATCGGCAGCACTTTCCCACTCAGGAGTGTGTGTGTGTGTGACCTGTGTGTGTGCGGTTGCCCAATCTACCACACCTATTTATCCACCTCCATTGGTGCCACTCTGGGTCAGCTTTTCTTCCTTTTTCTTCCCCTCTCGTCTTCTTACTGTCACTCTTCAGCGTTTTCTAATATAATATTGCAGTGTTCATTACAAAACTGCTGTAAATACAGCTGTCATCGAATTTATATTCTTTTTCTTCTCACTATTATTCTTCTGCTGGATTTCTGTCCAATAATTCGTCCCACAGTTGCCGAGATATCGACACCATTCCAACTCCGGAATGTTCAGTCTGACTGGGAATGGTGTGCTTGTGTACAGCTTTTTGATCAGATGTACGGTTTTTGTATAATCATCGTTAAACGACGAATTTCTCCCTATAGAAATGAATGGGGGTCACCCAGATGATATAAGCCACAATGATATAAAGCCATTAGCAACACTTATTAACCATGTAGGATACCATAGCAACAACCTAGAAACACCTTAGCAACCACTTAGCAAAACCCTAGCATCCACCTGGGATACCATAGCAAGCACCTAACAACACCCTAGAAACCACCTGGGATACCATAGCAACCACTTAGCAACATCCTAGGAACCACCTGGTATACTACAGCAACCACTTCGCAACACCCTAGAAACCACCTGGGATACCATAGTAACCACCATCAACACCCTAGGAACCGACTGGGATACCACAGCAACCATGTAGCAACACCCTAGGAACCACATGGGATACCATAGCAACCACCTAGCAACACCCTTGCATCCATCTGGGCTACCTAGAAACCCTGTAGCAACACCCTGAGCACCACATGGGATACTATAGCAACCACCTAGCAACACCCTAGGAACCCTCTGGGATACTATAGCTACCACCTAGCAACACCCTAGCAACCACAGGGAAACCACAGCAATCATGGTTCTTTGCACGGTGAAACTGTTCTCCAGATTCTTAGAGAACGCGTTTATATGGTTCTATATAGAACTATAAACGCTTCATCTGTCGTTACAAGCTTGACATCATAAGAATAGCAGAAAGCTTTTTGCTGCCATATACAAGGTGTGAGACACAGGACCCCCTAATTAACCTCTTAGACCCCCAAATGTCTCAAAATCAAAATTCTGTGGGGGGCCTGGAAATAAACTTAGGCCACATGGAAACTAAGCCTATTTGAATTCATTGTTTCTGTGATGTCAAAAAAAAAAAAACCTAATTGGCATACAGATCTGCCAATTCAGCACAAAGCAGTTTAGCCCCGTCACTGCTTTTTGAATGAGGCAGCCAATCAGAAGAGAGCTCATTTACATGTATTACATCAGTCTTAAAGGGAGAGTAACAAAACCAGCCTGTTTGATTCTAAGGAATAAACAGAGGTTGGAAAAAGGTCATGAAAGGTCATGTAGGAGAGAACTACGGCTGTTTTTGATCAAGCGAGTCCCCATGGGGAAAAATAAAATCCAAAAAAAGGATATGGATATTGGCCCTTTCAAAAAATTATGTGTATTTATATATACATATATATATATATATATATATATATATATATATATATATATATATATATATATATATATTCTTAGAGAACATGTGCTGAATTGGCAGATCAGTATCACAGAAACAATGAATTCAAATAGGCTTAGTTTCCATGTGGCCTAAGTTTATTTCCAGGCCCCCCCAGAATTTTGATTTTGAGACATTTAGGGGTCTAAGAGGTTAATTAGGGGGTCCTGTATCTCACACCTTGTATATGGCAACAAAAAGCTTTCTGCTATTCTTATGATGTCAAGCTTGTAACGACAGATGAAGCGTTTATAGTTCTATATAGAACCATATAAACGCGTTCTCTAAGAATCTGGAAGAATTCATATATATATATATATATATATATATATACATACAATGCATACAATATATATATATATATATATATATACATATATATATATATATATATATATATATATATATATATATATATATATATATATACAATATGGGCCCCTCAATAACTCAGTAAGGATTTGATTTATTTAGGCACACAATTTAGGGCTAAAACCAAAAAATCAAACATGTCTTGGCTGATTGACCACATTTGGGGTAAATTTGATTTATTTTCACCAACTTATCACTTTACAGAGCCAATATCCTGCATATTTTGCATTGTATTTTTCCCCCCGTGGTCCACTTATGATGTTTGTGTTGTTTTATGTACCAATTCATGTATAAATGACTATTTTCTTTACTCTTTAGAATTAACAGGCTGTTTTTGTTATAGTGCATTCTTATTTAAATGAGCTCTGTTCTGATTGGCTATCCTTTATTGCATCTCAGTCCTGAAACACTCCTTATAGCTTCACTGCGATTGGGCCGGGATGAAGTACTCTGTTAGAAATGAAGGTTCTGTGCAGGTACACGTTTGTTCATCAATGTACAAACAGTGTAAATGTTCCCTCAAAGGTACAACAGTGGTTTTAAGGTCAGATTATGAACCTTAAATAAGTTTTTCCAGGTGAAAAGTTCGTATTTGTACCTTTTCATAAGCAAATGTTTTAAAACAGAACGGTAAAATAAAAGTCCTGGAGACGAGACGGGGTGTGTGGAGTCAGTACAGCTTAGAACAGATCATTTCAGTGGATTATGGTTCAGTTATGTTCCCTGACTAAAGGTACTGAGATGGACCCTTGAGGGTCCCACCCCAGTGACAAGAGGGGTCCTGCACCAGTGACAGTTTAGTACCTTTATTTCTCAGAGTGTACTGTAGGCTGAATTGTTGAATAGATGTAAGTGCACTGTTTTTTGTGACATCACAAGAACAATTAATTCAAAACATTCATTTATGACATCAGACATGACCTTATCTGTCATACGAGCCCTTTAAAGCAGGCCTTAGGTTCCGAACGCAGCTCCCATCATACTCCAAAAAGCTAAAAAAGGGTTCTTCAAGGGTTCTTTAGCATACAGAACGGCTCTATTTAGAACCATAAGTTCTATCCAGACCCCTTTCACGCTTAAATGGTTCTTTGCATGGTGAAATGGTTCTTCGGATTGATGAAGAATGATGTTGACACCTTTTTGACTGTTTCTTCTATTGTTACAAGCTGGACAACAACAGCAGAACCCTTTTCGTTCTGTATAGAACCTTACACAACCATTTCACCATGTAAATCTCACAGTTCTAAACAGAATATTCCCTTCACTCCATTTTTAGCGTGTACAACAGTGACTAATTCACCCCACAGCTCTCTCTGTAGCTGTAAATAGTTGTTTGTTCCATCATAAACAAGCAGAGAGGTTACAGGGAGGCCGTCACAGCGCGTAACCCATCATCACAATAACCATCCAGCCATCTGCCCACTTGCTCTGTGTATACAGGCTCGGCCAGGCCCATGCCATTCATAATCCCACGCTTAATCCCATCATTTCACAGCTGAGAGAAAGCACAGGGCTGGGAAAACTGTTATAATGGACTTTACATGGATCTAAAGCTGCCCTGCATTTATACACGTCCTGCTTTCATAACAGAAAGCAAAGCAAAAGCAGGTGTGTTTTTAGTCATCCCCATTCTAACTCCACTGGCAGTTCAAAACAGGGCGTCTTTCCTTTCCCACCCGTTTTCAGCACAAGCCGCGCCTCCCGCGCTGTGATTGGCTACCAGCTGCCCCGCTTGGTTCGGCCAGTAGCGCAGAACTGGAATCGCCTGGGCAGGAGGAGGAGGAGCTTTGCCGGAAAACGGGTGGGAAAAGAAATAAGGCGTTTTGAGGAAGGGGAGCCCCCTTTATGGGGGAATAAAATACTTTGTTTACCTCGTATGGCGTTTATGACGTTGTTCCCATCCTTGATGACGTCCTTGAGGAACTTGCTCGTCCTCTCCAGCTCCGATTCGTAACATTTGAGCCTCTCTCTGAAATCCGGACTGTCCGAGTAGCAGTCGCTGAACTCCAGCGGAGGATGCCCCATCTCTCTGTTTGTCCCGTTAACCCCCCACTAACTCGCCCTCCTCCACTTGTAGCACACTTTACGGATCGATACGGACCGATATTGATGGATGACGTGGGAGTGGGAGAGGGAGGAGGAGGAGGAGGAGAAGGAGAAGGGGGCTCAATAATAAAAGTGACGTCACGCCTCACTTTTGCCTCCTATTTTCTGTTCTCTTTGGGTGCATAAAGTCCAGAAAGGCAAGCCTGGGTCAGACGATGGGCGCCAGCGAAGTTAAGTCTGCCCACATTTGGCTGAAGCAGCAATAAAAGCCCAGTCCAGGTGCAGATTGCGCAAAGCCCGCGCGCTGTGAACTCCTTCAAACGCTGCCCGAACTCAGAGCTCCTGCGACTCGAGCCTCAAAGCGGAGCGGGACTGAAAATCAACTGAATTAATTGATTAATTTGAAAAAAACAAGGCGCTCGTTTCTGCAGCTCCTCGCCCCGCTGAGCGATCCTGCTCACTTTTCCTCGTTGTGGGAGAACCTCCTTGTGGAGGAGGATGGTCAGATGCACAGGGCCCTCCTACAGGAGCAGCCTTAAAGACACAGGACCCGGCAAACGCTGAGAACAGAGCCGCATTGTGGCGGAGTAAAATGGGTGTGGAGAGGCACTTTAAAGGGGAAGTCCAATGAATTTTCATCATCCCTATAAAAATAAAGGGTTAAGATGTAAACAAAGTCCTCCAGAAAGGGTTGGCGTGAGACGCTTCGTTCTCGAGAAACTCGCCGAGAAAGATTTGTTCACAGTGGTGGTGATGGGAACCAGACGTCCATCTCACAAAACGTATGTCGTACGCACAAGATATTCATGCAGAGAGGCAGAAAAAAGGCAATTTTAACATTGCTTTGGTGGTTTTGGATAGTAAATAAAATGGCTATATTTGTGCTGTGGTCATGGCGACGTCTGGTTCCTATCACATCCACTGTAAAGAAATCCGAACCAGACTAAACTAACTAAATGACATCTCAAATGCTCAGTTATGCAATTTTTAACAATTTTACTGCAACTACAATAGAATTCATCAGTCAACGCTACAACAATACAAGTTTTAACATATTGCTGCTAATATATCTGGGTGTTTATACAACTGTGGGCACTTTTGGCGTCCAGATCTTTTAGAGAATGGACGATAAGCAGCTGTGAGTTTGTAGGATATGAATAAAAATAGTATTAAGGCCCAAAATGAGCTTCAGAAGTGACATAAGGTCAGTACATTTAGCAACAATTTGTGTGTGAAAATGTCTAATGGTGCAGCTTTATGCTAAATATGTAATCATAAATTCAAAATCACATTCAGTAAGGTTTAATAATTTATTCATTTAGGTAACTATCACTTCAAATGTGATGTTTATTCATATATGAAACTGCGGTGATTGAAAATTGACCTTGTACATAAGAGATTGCACTCTGCTCTAATCAGATCGAGGCCTGCTGACCTGCAGAATGTTATTGTGGTGTGTTTTATATTATGGGGTTATTAATATGTTGTATTTTTTGTTGATGTTTAGCACTTTAAAACTATGTTTCTGTTTTATTTTACTTTAAGAAAGTTCATATGTTTGTATAAAATTATGATTTAAATCACAACTTCATTCATAATTAAATCCAAGGCCCCAAAGCCAGAGTAAAAGGAAGTCCTAATCACTGGGTGAACCACTAAAGAGGAAGAACATTGTTCCCCCTGTTTAACCAGCACCTCACCATAACATCCCAAACACATACAAAAACATATACAGTGGTGTGAAAAAGTGTTTGCCCCCTTCCTGATTTCTCATTCTTTTGCATGTTTGTCACAGTTAAATATTTCAGATCACCAAACAAATTTAAATATTAGACAAAGATAACACAAGTAAACACAAAATGCAGTTTATAAAGGAAGGTCTTTATTATTAAGGGAAAAAGATACCCAAACCTACAGGGCCCTGTGTGAAAAAGTGATTGCCCCGTCCATTAAAACATAAATTAACTGCGGTTTATCACATCTTTGGAAAGCTGAGTTCAATTTCACCCAGGCCTGATTACTGCCACACCTGTTCTCAATCAAGAAATCACTTAAATAGGACCTGCCTGACAAAGTGAAGTAGACCAAAAGATCCTCAAAAGCTAGACATCATGCTGCGATCCAAAGAAATTCAGGAACAAATGACAAACAAAGTAATTGAGATCTATCAGTCTGGAAAAGGTTATAAAGCCATTTCTAAAGCTTTGGGACTCCAGCGAACCACAGTGAGAGCCATTATCCACAAATGGCAAAAACATGGAACAGTGGTGAACCTTCCCAGGAGTGGCCGGCTGACCAAAATTACCCCAAGAGCGCAGCGACGACTCATCCAAGAGGTCACAAAAGACCCCACAACAACATACAAAGAACTGCAGGCCTCACTCGCCTCAGTTAAGGTCAGTGTTCAGGACTCCACCATAAGAAAGAGACTGGGCAAAAATGGCCTGCATGGCAGAGTTCCAAGACGAAAACCACTGCTGAGCAAAACGAACATAAAGGCTCGTCTCAGTTTTGCCAGAAAACATCTTGATGATCCCCAAGACTTCTGGGAGAATACTCTGTGGACTGACGAGAGAAAAGTTGAAATTTGGAAGGTGTATGTCCCGTTACATCTGGCGTAGAAGTAACACAGCATTTCAGAAAGAAACATCATACCAACAGTAAAATATGGTGGTGGTAGTGTGATGGCCTGGGGTTGTTTTGCTGCTTCAGGGCCTGGAAGACTTGCTGTGGTAAATGGAACCATGAATTCTACCTGTCTACCAAAGAATCCTGAAGGAGAATGTCCAGCCATCTGTTCGTGACCTCAAGCTGAAGCGCACTTGGGTTCTGCAGCAGACAATGATCCAAAACACACCAGCATTATGAATTACAACAATTCTGCAAAGATGAGTCGCCAAAATTCCTCCACAGTGCTGTAAAAGGCTCATTGCCAGTTATCGCAAACGCTTGATTGCAGTTGTTGCTTCTAAGGGTGGCCCAACCAGTCATTAGGTTTAGGGGGCAATCACTTTTTCACACAGGGCCCTGTAGGTTTGGATTTCTTTTTCCCTTAATAATAAAGATCTTTGTTTATAAACTGCATTTTGTGTTTATTTGTGTTATCTTTGTCTAATATTTAAATTTGTTTGGTGATCTGAAATATTTAACTGTGACAAACATGCAAAAGAACAAGATATCAGAAAGGGGGCAAACACTTTTTCACACCACTGTAAACACTAGCGAACCGTGTTCAGGCTGTTTTCAGGTGTGAAAGACAAGAGGTTCTAAATAATTATGAGATGTATAATTAATATGCAGTAATAAAGAGGAAAAACTGTTATTTATGTACAATAATCTGCATTAATAACGCAGAGTCTACAGCAAAAATCTCAATGTGCAGAAACATTACTGGTGCATTAATTTGAGCAAATTTGGATTTTAAATGTATAAGTTAAAACAGCGCCCCCTACCAAGCACACAGTAAAATACAACAGCGCCCCCTACCAAACTCAGATTTAAATACAACAGCGCCCCCTACCAAACTTAGATTTAAATACAACAGCGTATTATATACACACATATATATATATATATATAAAATACAATAATATAAAATATTATGTAATGATTAAATATCTAATATAAGTATAATTGGTATACTTTAACAAAGTATAATTTAAAATTAATTTTAATTTAATTTTAATTTATAATTTAAATACAACCGTGCCTCCAACTCAAATTTAATATAATTTAATATTAAATGTAAACATAACAAAAATAACAAAAATACAATAAAATAAAATATAATATAATAATAATAAAAATATAATATAAGTATAATTTAAAATTAATTTAAACATAATTATAAGTCATAATTTAAATATAACAGCGCCTCCAACTCAAATTTAATATAATTTAATATTAAATGTAAACATAATAAAAATAAAATAAAATACAATAATATAAAATATAATATAATAATTAAAAATATAATATAAGTATAATTTACAATTAATTTAAACCTAATTATAATTATAATTTAAATATAACAGCGCCTTCAACTCAAATTTCAATGTAATTTAAATGTAATTTATGTATAATTTATGATTTAAAAATAACAGCGCCCCCTACCCGAACCCAAATAAATTTATATTTAATATATTCACATTTTCTTTATTTTGGTTTATCATGTTGTCGTATTGTTTTGTTGTTTCATTTGTTCTTTTTGCACATTTTTTTGAAGCGCCTTCTATGAATAAATCAGCAACAACAACAACAACAACAACAACAATAATAATAATAACAATAATAATAATAATAATAATAATAATAATAATAACAATAATAACTATATCTTGCGCGTGGCAGATCGCGCTGGGTGTCGCGTTGTCTTTGTGCACGTCAGCACAGTCCGGTGACGTAGCGACATCCGCGTTGTCTGGGAAACATGGCGGAAGTTGTGGACGTAAATAAACCTCTGGTAAGAAATAAACGGGTTTTTATAAAGATTAGTATAATAAACCGCCGTGACTGTCGGCCTGTTTAAGTGTGTGTGTGTTGGGGACGGTTCTCCGTCCTTACGGCGGCCGCCGTGTTTCTCGGTAATGTGATAAATGAGAGTTTTTCGGCGGTGGAGCTGAGTGCGGAGCTCTCCACGGAGCAGCGCCTGATAACGGACAACTGTGAACGCGCTGCTGCAGTCTGGGCCTGATCTGGACCTGATTTGGACCTGTTCTGGACCTGTTCTGGACCTATATTAGTCCATATTCATCAGACCTCTCAAACTAAGGCTGCTCTGGGATCCAGTTATCACCAAAAACCGAAGTTAGCCTCTTGTTCGCCGAGTGGAACCGAAAAAATCCTATAAGAAGCTGATTTCAGACTGAGACGTCAGCATGTAGCTTAACTGCTGCACCATTTAAGGTGGAACGGGAAATTTCCTCAGAGCCTCTCAGAGTAACGTTAGCAGAGCTTCGGACTCCTTTATAGATCAGCTATATCTGATTTTGCTGATCCTGGATCAGCACTAACTACTCTGAGTCACCAAATCGAGCGTCCCTTTCAGGTCATTAATAAATAAGGCTGATCTGGATCTACTTGTCTGGTCTTGGTCTGGTTCTAGATCTGAGCACTTAAAAAAGGTGGTTCCTCAAGGATTCTTTATTAAAGACAGTGGCTCTGTATTGAACCGTGAACACTCAGAGAACCATTTGCATGCTTAAAACATTCTTTGTGCGGTGAAATGGTTCTTCAGGTTGAGTGAGAATGTGGTTCTACATAGCTAGCACCAAAAAGCATTCTTCTACAGTTACAAGGTTCACATCATGACAACAGCAGAACCCCTTCTATATCAATCTGAAGAACGATTTCACCATGCAAATAACCATTTAAGCATGCAAATGGTTCTTTGGGTGTTCATGGCTTGATGTAGAACCTTGGTTTTTAATAAAGAACCTTTGAAGAACATCTTTTTTAAGAGTGTAGGTCTGGACAACAGTGAACAGCATAGCTATACACTGAACAAGGCTGAATCGCCAGTAGGACAAACTCATTAGTGAGTGGTTTGTATTGGGAGAAATTGGGACTAAATCTAAATGAGCATTATAGTAAAATTAAAGGCTACAAAGGCAGTAAAATGTAGATATTTTAGTGCAGAAAACCAACGTCACCTAAATGTTCTTCACTACTGCAGTTAAATAATCACATCATTAATACACTATATGGACAAAAGTATTGGGACCCCTACGGGAGCTTTTATGAATCCCATTCTAAATCCATGGGCATTAATATGGAGTTGGTCCCCCTTTGCATCTCTAACAGCTTCCACTCTTCTGGGAAGCTTCCTACAGATGTTGGACAGAGTCTGTGGGAATTTCTGCCCATTCATCCAGAAGAGCATTTGTGAAGTCAGACACTGATGCTGGACGAGAGGGTCTGGCTCACAATCTCTGTTCTAGTTCATCCCAATGGTGTTGATGGGGTTGAGGTCAGGGCTCTGTGAGGGCCAGTCAAGTTCTTCCACACCAAACTCACCCAGTCAGGCCTTTATGGAGCTGCTTTGTGCACTGGGGCTCAGTCATGCTGGAACAGAAAAGGTTCTTCCCAAACTGTTCCACAAAGTTGGAAGCTACAATTGTCCAAAATGTCTTTGTGCTGAAGCTTTAAGGTTTCCCTTCACTGGAACTAAGGGTTCTAGATCAACCCCTGAAAAACAGCCCCATATCATCATCCCTCCTCCACCAAACTCTACAGCTGGCACAGTGCAGTCAGGCAGGTAACGTTCTCCTGGCATTCGCCAAACCCAGACTCGTCCATCAGACTGACAGATAGAGAAGTGTGATTGGTCACTCCACAGAATACGTTTCCACTGCTCCAGAGTCCAGTGGCGGCGCTTTACTCCACTCCATCAGACGCTTGGCTTTGCGCATAGTGATCTTAGTCTTGTGTGCAGCTGCTCAGCCATGGAAACCCATTTCGTGAAGTTCCTAATGTGCAGTTCTTCTGCTGATGTTGCTTCCAAAGGCAGTTTAGTGATGATTCCACAGAGGATAGACACTGAGCTTCAGCACTCGCGGTTCACTCTGTGAGTTTGGTGGTCTATCCACTTTGTGGCTGAGCTGTTGTTGCTCCTAGACGCTTCCATTTCTCAGTAATAGCACAGTTGTCTGGGCAGAACTAGCAGGACAGAAACCTCACAAACTGACTGTGTCAGAGGTGACATCCTATTAAAGTCACTGAGCTCATCAGTACGACCCTCTACTGCCAGTGTTTGTCTATGGAGACCGCAAGGCTATGAGCTTAATCTGATCCACCTGTTAGTAAAGGGTGCGGCTGAAACACCTGAACTCAATAATTAGGAGGGGTGTCCCAATACTTTTGTCCATATAGTGTATCATGAGCATGTTTTCTTTGTTGGTTTTACACATAGAAAACTGTATATTGTCAAAACTGAAGGAACAGCATTGCTAAAAGTCCTGCTTTGTTAGTAAAGCCATATTTATTCCCTTGTCATGATGTCAGAACTCATCAGCACTCAAGCCTTTCAGGTGTTTAAACCACCTTCGTACCAAAAGAGTTTCAACATAAGCCTTTAACCACTGCTCTTCATACCAGCTTTGATCAGCATGAAGCTGAGAAAAAATGTAAAAAATAATTCGCTGGGTTGTTTTGTGTGGTCAGTTTGCAGGTTTATCTGACGTGTCGATTGCGGAGGATATTCCAGTAGAGGGAGATATCGCGGTGCCAGTGAGGTCTCAGAGTGGAGACGATGAGATTTCCACGCTGGACGAGCCTGTAAAGGACACTATTGTAAGTTTTCCATGAAGCTTCTGAACGGAGGAGTCACTTTCTACACATGAACTCCTGTTCAGCATTTCTCCATAATTGAGTATTTGAGATTCAGAGTGGTTTGGTGTGAAATGGTTCAGATTTCTTTACAGTGGTGGTGATAGGAGCCAGGGGTCGCCATGACTACAACACAAATATAGACATTTTATTTACTCTCCAGAACCACCAGTGAACCTACACGAGTCTTCTGAGTTTATATGGAATGATGATGATGGTAAATAGTGATAAATCTGATGTAATGATGACCGTTTCATGTAATAACGTAGTGTTTATGATGGTGAAATCTGAAAAAATAAGTTTCCTTTGGGGATTATTTTGCTTTACTTTTACTATTTCTATTTATGGCCTGAATTGTCTATCATAAAACACTGAGTGTCACTTAATAATCCGATAACTGCAGAAAATCAGATTTCATTAGTAATCCTTTCAACGTGTTTACATGCACTTGAGTAATCAGATAATGGGGAAACTCCTGGTCTACATGAGTCAGACAGTAATCAGATTTCTGTTTTACAACCAGCCAATAAACTCACAGAAGAAGTCGTGACGTAAACGTAACGTAAAACTCAAACTTGTCGTCAAGCACATTTGGTTTCAGCGTCGCTCCAAAAGTGTTTTGCTGCTCGCTTATTTCCGGCACCGCGGTCTGTTTTGCACATGCTCAGACTGAGAAATCTGAAAGAAATCAGAGTAAGAGTTTACAGCACTGAGAAATCTGATTACTGAGCTAAAATCCAGCCTCTTTATCAGATTGAGATCGAAGTGTGATGTTCACATGACCGTTTGAATAATCTGATAACTGCAGAAATCCTATTATGATCAGATTATTGAGTGCAGGTAAACACACTCAGTGTCTCAGACATCAGGCAGTGAATTCATAACCATTTCATGTAGGAACTTTCTGTGAGGGAGCTTTTAGAGGTGGACGTCTGGTTCCTATCACCACCACTGTGAACAGTTCTGACTCGGTAAGTTTCTCTAGAACAGAGCGTTTCACACCAAACCACTCTGAACGACTCTGTTTACATCTTAGTCTTTCCTTTTAATTAGGAAATTCTTAGATCTCCTCTTTAACAGTCTTTACTACACACGTTTAGGCCTGTTCTGAGTTCATAAACACATTGTTGTAAAATGTTCACGATTATTCTCAAAGCTGGATTTGTATTTGAGACCTGACGTGTGTTTCTCGTGTGTGTGTGTGTGTGTGTGTGTGTGTGTGTGTGTGTGTGTGTGTGTGTTGTAGTTGAGGGATTTGAAGGCGGTGGGTCAGAAGTTTGTCCACGTGCTGTATCCAAAGAAAAGCTCAGCTCTGCTCCGAGACTGTGAGTATAATTATATCAATTACAGTCACGTTAATCCAAATCAATCACATTGATCCGTACACAAACCCGTCGACTTTCGGCAGAAATTTGATACCATGTAGAACAGCATGCAGTTCACAGCAGTTCCTTATTGGCCAGCCCACAGATTCAGTATTTCATTACTGTGGGCCAGTTAGAACGTTACTGGTGTGTCAAAAGAGAGACACGTTTTGTGAGCAGTTTGTGAAATTTGTTTCTGGAATTTCTTTTGAGGAGCGGCTGAGAAAAGTTCACATTATCATTATTAGTAACCAAGAAAATCAGGGGCCGGATTCTCGAAAGTGTTCTAGGAAAGAAAATCTTCTTAAATGTGTGTTTTTTCTTAACTTCATTCTTAAGAAAAAGTTATTCTTCAAATAACCGCTTAAGAATTCTTTTATTTTTCGGCGCTGACGTGGCAGATCTGGCGATCCTGTGTTGGCCTTCACCCTCCTAGTGTTGATAGTGTCGTGTGATTGGGGGAGTCCTAACTAGTGGGTGGAACTGGATATGACTAAATCGAGGAGAAAATGGGGGGAAAAATGAAAAAAAAAAGGATTTTCTTAACTATTTTCTTAAAATGATTGTAAGAACAAGTGGTATTCCTGGAAATATTATTTACTTAAATGTTTTCTTAACCTTATTATAGCTTTACACTTGTCTTAGGCTGCAAGGGTTGACAAGGTGATCATCTAAATTTATCTCGGACGCTGCCTCTGCTCCTCATCCTCGTCCATCACCCCACAATTATCATGATTTCAAATAAGGATTTTTTTTCCTGCTGACCGTTTCATCCACCATCTCCTGTAGTTCTTGTTTGCTATTTTTTTTTAAATGCTCGGTTTGATGTTTTTCCTCCATTTTGCTCTTCTGAGCGGATTAAACTAAATAACGCAAATATCTCACGTTGTTTATGGTACGTAGTAAAATCCAATACAGCATACATCAGAAAACAAGGATTTTCTTAAGAAAATCGTAAGAAAATAATTTAAATTATTAGTCCTAAGAGAACATTTGAGAACTTTTTTCAAGTACTGCACTGAAGATCATTCTTATGAACTTCTTAGTGTTTGTCTTAAGAACCTTCGCACGTTTTTTTCTTAAGAAAGCTTTCGAAAGTCCAGCCCCAGCTTTTATTTTTCATTTTGCATCTGAAATTGACGTAGAACACGCTGATTTCTGTGAACTGTGACCGCTGTGAGATCTAAACAGTGATCTATATCGCAAGTGCTGAACACTGGTACAAGGACTGTGAGCCATTATGAAGCCTGTAGAGCACAAATGATGGCCAGAGTTTTTAGAAGGGAATATAGATGTAGAGTCTCATAAGACGATTTCTTAAAAGTGGCTTACCATGCCAAGGACAAAAGGTCAATGTGTACAAAATTTGGCTGATGAATCTGACTGGTGGCTGTTTCTGATTGGTCAGTGAAATGGGTGAGTGACTGATTGGTAAGTGAGGCTGCCCATGTGAGTAATATGACCAATTTTGTACACTTTGGCCTTTTGACCTTGGAAATAAGTGACGTGAAACTATGACCCCTTTGTTTTAGTGTCAGCCAGTTTGCTGCTATACAGAGCAGCATGCAGCGCATATTTGCTTCGGAATGCATTAGAATTTCATGTTAAAATCACTGAAATGTTCTCCTGGGAATAATGCTCCTGTAGTGGAGATCGGTTTTTCACTGCTCATGAGTTTGCATGTTAATCAAATCAATCAAATTAATCACCTTTCACAGTTTGAAGGACTTGTTGTGTGTCTCTCTCTATAGGGGACCTATGGGGACCTTTACTGCTGTGTGTTACCCTGGCGCTGTGAGTGATTCACACAGAAAACACTGAAACACTGCATACAGATAATATAGTAAACATTGAGCAGCCTTTATTCTAGAGAGCTTTACAGCCAAGTTCTGTTATAAAAGCTTTACTAAAGTGTGTGTGTGTGTGTGTGTGTGCGTGTGTGTGTGTGTGTGTGTTTTTGTGTGTGTGTGTGTGTGTCAGGATGCTGCAGGGTGGATCAGCTGACAGTAAGGATGACGGGGGGCCGCAGTTCGCTGAAGTTTTCGTCATTGTCTGGTTCGGCTCCATCATCATCACCCTCAACTCCAAACTGCTGGGCGGGACCATGTAAGTAATCTGACCAATCAGAAACAGCCACATCAGCGAATCACCGACCAATAAAATCAACAGCATCACTGCATCATTGACCAATCACTTAACCACTTCACTGACCGATCAGATTCACCTGCATCACTGACCAATCAGAAACAGCCACATCTCTGCATCATTAACCAGTCACTCACCTGCATCACTGACTCGTCAGATCTGCCCACAACACTGACCCGTCAGATCTGCCCACAACACTGACCCGTCAGATCTGCCTGCATCACAGCATCACAGACCAGCCACATTCACCTGCATCCCTGAACATTGTGGACCCTCCTGCACAAAAACTACTGCTTCTGTCACCAGAACCTCAATACTAATTCCCAGACTCTGTACCTGAGCAGTGCAGCTCTGCCCACAGCGCCATCTAGTGTATATATTAGTGTTCTTTCTCTCTCTGTGCAGATCGTTCTTCCAGAGTCTGTGTGTGTTGGGTTACTGTATCCTCCCGCTGACCGTGGCCATGCTGGTTTGTCGGCTCGTCCTCCTCGGCTCGATGGAAGTGGGCGGTTTCATCATCCGGCTGGTTGTGGTCACCGCCTCCTTCGGCTGGTCAACGTTCGGTACGGAACTCAGCCCCACTCATACATTCATACTCAGCCAGACTCTCAACAGCAGAGGAAGGTCATAACAGCTATAGTTCATCATTTCAATGTAGAGTTTAGCGTTCTGGATGTTATTAGAACTTCATACTTGATGTTCTACAGCTTTCACTGTCATTTTAGAGTCGCCTCTGTGAAATTCTATTAACACTGACATCCAGAATGAAATTCTAAAAAAATCTAGAGTGAAGTTCTAATACAATTAATATCCAGAGTGAAATTCAAATAAAATTATCATCTAGAATGAAATTCTAATAAAATTAACACCCAGAATAAAGTTCTAATAAAATTCATATCTAGAATTAAGTTTTAATAAAATTAAAATCCAGAATGAAATTCTAATATAATTAATACCTAAAATGGAATCCTCCTAAAATGAACATCCAGAATGAGGTTCGAATAAAATTAATATCTAGAATGAAATTCCAATAAATTTTATATCCAGAATGAAGTTGAAAAAAATAATAGATAGAATAAAATTTTAATACAATTAATATCCAGAATGATTTTCTAATAAAATTAACATCCAGAATGAAGTTTTAATAAACTTAATATCCAGAATGAAGTTTTAATAAACTTAATATCCAGAATGAAGTTCTAATAAACTCAATATCCAGAATGAAGTTCTAATAAAATTAATATCTAGAATGAAATTATAATATTAACATTCTGAAATGAAGTTCTAAAAAAATTAACATCCAGAATAAAAACTTTTCCTTTTAAATTGATATTTTTTACACTAACTTTGACGCCAACCTTCCCTCTTTATTTGTAGGCTGTTTTACATTGTTTCTTGGCCCCCCAAACAGGACAAGTTTGTCCACACCCTGTGAGAGGATGTCAGAGTGTGTGTTGCAGTTCCTCATTGCACCACCAGATGGCAGTACAGTGCTGTGCAACAGCTGCAAACGTAGCGCTTTTCTTTCTATCGGATTTCTGTGCTTTTTTAAGCTCTGGGTGAATTGCTGTTTCCCTCTTTCTCCCCCCGTGGCTCCCCCACCCCCTGCGGCTCCCCCACTCTGCGCTCTGAGCTTTATTGAGTGGAGGGTGAATTGCGGTTTGTTCCTGAAAGCGGTGAGGAGGCCGATATTGGATTGAATTGGCTGCGCTAATCCACTGATAGATCTGTGCCGCTGTGGTAAACACGGCTGACGCCTCACACAGACGCTCTTTAGTCAGACCTGCTTTCATCTGTCTTTCACGTGTGTTTTTATATATTTATATATATATATATATATATATACACACACACACACAAAATTATTCAGTCTCAGGCTGTAAGGA